CCCTGATCCCGATCCCGCTCCAGATCCCGGTCCCGGTCCCGCTCCAGATCCCGGTCCCGGTCCCGGTCCCGCTCCTCACCTGCATCTTTCCCGTCCCCACCTCTCCACTTCCTCCCCCCGCTCCAGCCAATCGCTTGCCTCAAGCTCCGCGCCTCAGCCAATCAGATCGCGGTCCGCCCAAAAGTCCCGCCTTCCTGCCAATCATATTGGCGGCCACGCAGGCAGCGCCACTGCCGGTGTTCTGATTGGCTGCAGGGGAAAGGGGCGGGGGCGGCTCGGACCAATCGGAGCGGGCGGTGGCAGTTCGGGGGTCCCAATCCAGTCCCGGACTCGATCCCAGTCCCAATCCCGGCACCAATCCCGGTCCCAATCCCGGTCCCAATCCCGGTCCCGATCATAATCCCGTCCCAAACCTGGTCCCAGTCCCGGTCCCGGACCCAATCCTGGTCCCGGTCCCAATTCCGATCCCGGCCATAATCCCTTCCCAAACCTGGTCCCAGTCCCGGTCCCAGTCCCGGTCCCAATTCCGATCCCGATCATAATCCCGTCCCAAACCTGGTCCCAGTCCCGGTCCCGGACCCAATCCTGGTCCCGGTCCCAATTCCGATCCCGGCCATAATCCCTTCCCAAACCTGGTCCCAGTCCCGGTCCCAGTCCCGGTCCCAATTCCGATCCCGATCATAATCCCGTCCCAAACCTGGTCCCAGTCCCGGTCCCGGACCCAATCCTGGTCCCGGTCCCAATTCCGATCCCGGCCATAATCCCAGTCCTAAACCTGGTCCCAGCCCCGGTCCCAGTCCCAGTCCCGGTCCCGGTCCCAAGGTGTCCCAGCCCCGAGTCGGGACCCCGGGGTTCCCTCCCAGCCGTCCCGCAGGACGATCCCCCAGGAGGATCCCAACAGATCCCAATCCCCGCGGGGATTCCCAGTCACCCCCGGGATCCCAGATCCCTCCGGATCCCCCAGGGAACCCCAGCATCCCCCAGAGCGGATCCCGGATCCGTCGTGGACTTCTGGGAGAGTCAAAATCCCCCTGGGAACCCCTGAGTGGATCCCAGTTTTCTTGGGCATCCCTGGAGAGAGGGGCTGGGGCAGACCCCAGACCCCTCAGGGATCCCCAGGTGCTCCCAGAGCAGATCCCAAATCCCCTGGGAACCACTGGGTGCCCCAGCACAGAGCCAGGATCCCCCTGGGACCCTCAGCAGCCGCCCCAAAGGAACCCCAGTCCCTGGGGGATCCTTGGGAAGGCTCCAGGAGCAGATCCCGGATCCCTCACGGACCGACAATCCCCTCCAGAGCCAGGATCCCTGCTGGGATCATCCCGCTGGATTCACTCGGGGGCAGCAGCTCCCGTCTCCCGGGGGGGTCCCGCGGTGTCCCCGTGTCCCCCCCGCGGTGTCCCCATCCCTCGGGGACACGGTCACGGTGACCTGGCGGGGACGGCGGCGGCAGGAGCCGCGATCCCACCGGGAGCCGCGATCCCACCGGGAGCCGCGATCCCACCGGGAGCCGCGATCCCTCCGCTCCCGGTGCCCGACCCTCGTGTCCCAGAGCCACCGGGCCTCGAGGCCACCGAGCGCTGTCACGGCCGGCCCGGGGCGGTGACGGCCACCCAGGGCCACCCAGAGCCACCTGGGGCCACCCAGGGCCACCTGCCCAGCGCTGGCACCGCTCCCTGTCATGAATATTCAGCCGCGCCTGGCCCGGCCCCGCCGTTTGCTCCGGCAGGAGGGGTTTGGGAGCGGGTTCACCTTGACGGGAACACCGGGACAGCGACAGGTGAGCGACACCTGCCCGCGCTGCCCCGCCGGGACACCCCGGGACACCTCGGGACACCCCCGGGACATAACCGGGACATCCCGGAACACCCCCGAGACTCCCGGGACCCCCCCGAGACTCCCGGGACACCCCCGGGACACCTCGGGACCCCCGGACGCGGCAGGAGGAGGTACCGGGATGCGGTGTCCGTGCTGGGAATGGGATGTGGGACCCCCGGGGACACTCTGGGGACACTCCGGGGATGGTCCCGCCTGGCTCTGGCACGGGGAAGGGGCGCTGGGGACACCGGGGCCACCAGCGGGGTGGTGGCCGCAGTCTCTGTGCCCTTGTCCCCACGTCCCAGAGGGAAAAGGGGGGTTTTTATCCCCCCAAAGCCGTGCCGGGGGTGACATCTGGGAGGGCTCAGCGGCACGAGGACACGGATGGGGACAGGGATGGGGGACACGGAGCTGTGCTGGACCCCGGGACCGCCACAGGGCCCCGAGAATCCCCCCCCCCGTGCCCGCGGCCAGGGAAGCGCTGGGCTCGGGAGCCGCCTTCCCTCGGTTCCTGCCCCGGAGCCACGTTCGGCTGATCCCGGAACCTTCCCGGGCCCTCCCACCGGGGACAGGCGGGCCCCGGGGCCGGGGTGCGGCGGGTGGCGACCCCCGGCAGCTCCCGGTGCGCCCCGGTTCCTGTTCCTGTTTGCTCAGCCCGTCCCTCCCCGGCCGCTACACGTGGCTGATAAGGGCAGCTCCCAGCCGCCTTTTCCCGGTTTTTCTCGGGAATTCCCGAGCCCTGGAACATCCATCCCGCGGCAAAGGCAGCGCCGCATCCCTCACCGGCTGGGGAGGGCCCAGGGAATTCCAGGAGGGAATTCCAGGAGGGAAGGCGATCCCAGAAATGCCGTTCCAGGATGGCCGACGGGCACGGCTGGTGGAAGCTGACGTTCCTGCGGAAGCGCCAGGCGGCGGCCCCGGTGCTCTACGAGAGCCCCGAGGGGCCCGGGGCACCGGGCGGGGACAGCGCGGAGGGGACGGAGCCCGAGGGACCCCCCGGCTTCACCGCCCGCCTGGAGAAGATCGTGGACAAGAGCACCAAGGGCAAACACGTCAAGGTCTCGCACTCCGGGCGCTTCAAGGAGAAGAAGAAAGTGAGGGCGACGCTGGCCGAGCACCCCAACCTGTGCGGGGCCGGCGAGCGGGAGGAGAAGTGACCCCGGCGGATGCTCCCGGTCCGCGGGGCTGCGGGAGCAGGGAGGACTCGGGATGGGGTTGAGCCGTGGGACGATCCGGGAGCGCCCGCGGGGTTGACCCCAGCGCTGACTGGTTCGTACTGGGATGAGGACTCACCCCTGGCGGCCCGCCTGGCTCTGCCCCAATCCCATTCCCAAATCCCATTCCCAAACCCCCTCCTCACTTTTTGGGGCCGAGCCCCGCTCGTGTCGCGGTCCCGAGGGGCTGCAGGGGACACTTCCCTGTCCCGAGGGAACAAATGACCTGACCCTGCCGGACAAATCCCCCCGAGGGAAGCTCGGAGCGCTCCCAGGAGGAGCCGCATTCCCAAAGGGAATCGCTCCTTGCTGCTGGAAGCGGGGAGCCCAGCCCGGGGCTCGGCATGCTGCTGCTGCTGCTGCTAATGAACTGTTAATTAATTAACTCGGTTAATAAACCGAGCCTGGGAGCTCAGCGGATCCCTGGATCCAGGCTGGAAGGGTGGGAAGGATCCGGATCCCCCCGGGACGGGGCGGGGAATCCCTGACCCTGAAGGAGGAGGAAGCAGAGGCGGCTCCGGGAGAGCTCCGCGGATCCCGAAATCTGGCATGGAAGGCTGGGAAAGCTCTGGATCCCTCCGGGATCTCTCTGGGAGCCATCCCGGGAAATCCCTGAGTCCCTGGATAAATGGGACACGCGGAGGTGGAAGCGGAGGCAGCTCCAGGGCTTTCCCTGCGGAAGAAATCCGCTGGAATCGCGGCCATCCCGGGAAATCCCTGACCCTGCGGAGAGTGGGACACGCGGGGGTGAAGCGGAGGAAGCTCCGTGGATTCCTCCGCGCATCCCTGGCAGGGTGGGAAGGTTCTGGATCCCTCTGGAACCCCGCTGGGAACGCGGCCATCCCGGGGAATCCGTGATCCCCTGGAAAAGGGGACACCCGGAGCCCTCGCAGCTCCCGAACTCCGCAGCTCCAGCTCCGCCAAGAGCCCGAGCCCGGTCTCGGTTTCCCGGTACGGGGCCGGTGCCAGCCCCGCCCGGCTCGGTTCGCTCGCAGCCCGTTCCTGGCGGCGCTGGGATCCCGGGATGGTGTCCCGGCGGGGATCCCGGGATGGTGTCCCGGCGGGGATCCCGGGATCGGGTCCCGGCGGGGATCCCGGGATCGGGTCCCGGCGGGGATCCCGGGATGGTGTCCCGGCGGGGATCCCGGGATCGGGTCCAGGCGGGGATCCCGGGATCGGGTCCCGGCGGGGATCTCGGGATCGGGTCCAGGCGGGGATCCCGGGATCGGGTCCCGGCGGGAAGGAGAGCGAAGCCCCTCGATCCTTTTCCCCACCGTCCCACCGGAATTTGGGCAGTGACATCCCCCCGCTGGCCTGGCCGGGCCGGGGGTCCGGAGCCTCTCGGGGGCGGTGACAGCGGCACAAAGGGTGCGACAGCCCCGTGGCCACCGTCCCTCGGTGCCGGGGCTGCCTGGGAACCCCCCGGGACCGGGAACCCCCCCGGGACCGGGAACCCCCCCGGGACCGGGAAACCCCCCGGGACCGGGAAACCCCCCGGGACCGGGAACCCCCCCGGGACCGGGAACCCCCCCGGGACCGGAACCCCCGGGACCGGGAAACCCCCCGGGACCGGGAACCCCCCGGGACCGGGAAATCCCCCGGGACCGGAACCCCCGGGACCGGCTGCCCTCGGCTCCGCCACAGCAAACACGGAACCGGGGAATTTTCAGGGATTGGTTTCGGCCGATCTCCGGGAGAGCCCGGCCCCGCCTGGGTAAATATTAACCCGATAGTAACCATTTACTAACCCGGTATTAACCATTTACTAACCCG